ATCTGACCGTAATTGACATCGTGGCCAGTAAAAATACTCCACACCAACTCTAACAGCTTGAGGCCCATATTATCAGTGCCTCTGATTCTGCTGGATAGACTGCGGATCACGAAATGGCAAACGAACTGCCATACCGTAGGCAACTGATTTTTCTTGAATTCGCCTATGCCTTTCAGCTTCTATTGGTAACCCATTTGGTAAAGTGCAGAAAGAATGTCCGCCATGCTTGGGGTGAGGAACTTCTTTGAAGGATGAACTAACAGATTGATGGCGTTGAGAAATTTCTCTTTGGTCAGAATAACCAAATAATTATTCACCAGATTCAAATGCACTTCTTGAAGGTTGTTGAAGGGTCGATATGCAGAGAAGGCACATCTGAAGAGTGTTGATAGAGGTACCACGTCTGTGAAGGAATCAAAGGGGCCAAACAGTGGGTGATTTGACAGAAACTTGATCATCAACTTGGTCGGAGCATTGTAAGAAGAATGATCGTCGAACACTGCCCTAAAATTGCTTGAAGAAATCATTGGCATTTGGTTCCTTGAAGCAGAGTCTGAACCAGTTGGATGACCAGAGGCAGATGCCTTGGAGTGTTTCTTCGAGATACCCGATTTCACCATTTTTAGAAAAGTTTGAAGAACTTGCAGGAAAACAGAGTGCAAGAAGATGAAGGAGAAGAAGTTCGTCTTGAGAGTTCTCAGAAAGCGTAAAACTTTCTTGGGGAAGAAGAAGACGGTTTTATAGTGGCAGATTTGAAACTGTTATTGATTTTACCCTAACTGAAATTGGATAAGGTAAAAACGTTTGGGTTGTTTTTTTTAAGGAAAAGTAATCTCAGCCACAGATGAGATAATAAAAGGTTTATTTTATTTTTTGAAATTTTCCAAAAGGGGTAGCATTTAATGAAATGTCAGTCCCTATAACATCACGTCTGAAGAACGTGTGGTGAGGGGTTAATCCGTTGTACAAAAGAGGAAGATGTAATGGATTTGACGTTTTGGGGGTAATAGGAAGAGACAATTTAAAAGAGATTTTTATGGAAAATCGTTCTTTTTGTCATCATACCCAAAATAGGTCTGACACAAGGTTTATTCAAAAAGTAGAACTGAGACAGTGATATGCTACACAAAGAATGTTTTTGAATGTTTTTCTTATTTAATGAAGGATCATTAAATAGCACACCACTTTCCAAGAATTTATGAAGCAGTTGAGAAATCAATCAATGTGATTGCGGATTGAGACTTCATCGAGGATGAATCTTTTGTCATTGCGGATGGATGGTTAGATGACTGCAGTAGAAGAACTGAGGAGAACACTTGAACAAAATTAGTAACAACAAACAATAAGGACCATTGAAAGATAGATATGAGATATAGTTGCGGTACATGAGATATACTGCGGTACATAGAATATACTGTGGTACATAGGATATACCAAAACTATCTATCATAAATAACTTCAATTAGGACCGCAACAGAGACGAAGGATGGTCTGCGGTACCTATCAATTCAAAAAGAATTGTGGGTCCGGATTCATCATTCCTAACATTTGTAAGAAACCGTTGAGATTTATAGAGTCAAGTGCCTTTGTGAAGACATCAACAATCTCTTCATGAGTATGGACAAAATCAGTTCAATGTTACCTTTCAGGATGTGGTCTTTGATGAAGTGATACCGTAGTTCAATATGCTTTGTCTTAGAGTGTTGAATTGGATTGTGGGAAATCGCTATAGCACTCTCAGAGTCACAATAAATTGGTATCCGCAGCATCCTGTATCCGTAGTCCATAAGTTGTGTTTTCATCCACAAGACTTGTGAACAACAGCTGGCTACGGCCACATATTCAGCTTCTGCGGTAGACAGTGATACACAATTTTGTTTTTTGATGACCAGCTGACGAGTCTTCCACCCAGAAATTGACATCCACCGGAGGTGCTTTTTCGATCTAGTCTGCATCCGGCATGATCCGCATCAGTAAATGCTTATAAGCTGAAGTCATTCCCTGTGGGGTACCATAAACCAAGAGTCTTGCTGCCCTTTAAGTATCTTAGAATCTGCTTGGCTGCGGTCATGTGTGACATTTTTGGATCAGCCTGGTACCTTGCGCATACACCTGTTGCAATGACGATGTCTGGTCGGCTTGCGGTGAGGTACATCAATGAACCAATTATACCTCTATAAGTCTTGTGATCCACTGATTCGCCGGAAGGATCAGCAGATATCTTATATCCGAAGGCCATGGGGACCTTAGCCGAAGAACAGTTGTCCATTGAGTATTTCTTTAGTAGTTCAGTGGTGTATTTCTCCTGAGGGATGAGTATCCCTTGAGGGACTTGTTTCACTTGAAGTCCTAGAAAGAAGTTAATCTCTCTATTCATGCTCATTTGGAACTTGTTGGTCATAAGCTTAGCAAATTCATCCACCATTCCCTGGTCAGTTGATTCGAAGATGATATCATCCACATATATTTGTACAAGCATAAGGTGATTACCATTTGCTTTTCTAAATAAAGTGGGATCAATCACTCCTCTTTTGTATCCGGACGAGACAAGAAATTCAGAGAGAGTCTCGTACCACGCTCTTGGGGCTTGCTTTAGACCGTAGACTGCTTTTTCAAGCTTGTAGCAGTAGTCTGGGAATTCAAGACTTTCGAAGCCCGGAGGTTGCTGAAGATAAATCTCCTCTTTTAATTCACCGTTGAGAAAAGCACTTTTCACATCCATTTGATGTACTTTGATGTTCTTGTGAGCTGCGTATGCTAAGAAGATTCGGATGGCTTCCATTCGTGTCACCGGAGCATATGTTTCATCATAGTCAATACCTTCAAGTTGACTATATCCCTTGGCAACTAGCCTTGCCTTGTTTCTGATGACCGCACCAGATTCATCCAACTTATTCTTGTACACCCATCTAGTACCAACAATAGTGTGACCTTGCGGCTTCGGAACGAGTTGCCACACTTTGTTTCTTTTGAATTCTTATAGTTCTTATTGCATTGCGGATATCCAGTCTGGTTCTAGTAATGCTTCTTTGATCGTTCGGGGCTCGACCGAGGACATAAATGCTGCGTAGTGACAGTGATCAGATAAATCCTTGGTAGATCGAGTCTGGATACCTGCGGATGGGTTGCCGATGATTTGACCTGGTGGGTGGTCCTTCGTCCATACGTGTAGACGGGGTTGTAGATGATCAGCAGCTGCGGTAGAGGGAATGTCTTCAATATTAGAAGACTCTGCGGTTGGAGACGGCAGTTCCCCCTGGACTTGAGAACATCCTGTAGAATCATCTTGGGCTGTTGGAGCGAGATTAGCATTTTCTTGAGCAATTTGAAGAGGTTCCCCCTGGATTGATGATGGAAGTTCCTCTTGAGTTTGAGAAGGTTCCCCCTGGATTATTGGAATTGTGAAAACTCTGGAGTCTGTTCTTGTATCGATGTTCTCTATGTTTTCATCATCCGAGTCCGAAGAAACGTGTGATGGTTGAAATCCTCTGCGGAGAGGGACTGGATCTGCATCTTCTAGTACTGGAACCTCGATGGTTGTTGTATGGTTCGGAGTTGAGTTTCCCCCTCAACCGGCAAGGTGGAAGTATTTAGTGATACCTCATCGGACGGTGTAGGACCAGATACGTCAGCATGCTACTGTTGAGCTTCCAGGGACACAAGAACTTCGGATAAATTGGTTGTTTCTACAGGGTCGAAGAGATCGTCATAGTTTACTTCAAATAGGTTTAGTGGACCCGAAGAGGCAGGAATATCACTTTACAGAATTGCTTTGGTTTCGGTTGATGGAGCAGTGTTGCGGATGTGATAATCATCGAATTTGACATCGAAGCTTTCAACTATTAGCCTTGTGCGTCTAATGAGAACCCTATAAGCAACTTTGTTTGTTGAGTAGCCAAGGAAGATGCCTTCATCAGACTTTGGTGCGAATTTTTTAAGATGATCTCTGTTGTTGATTACAAAGCATCTACACCCAAAGATATGGAAGAATCGGACATTTGGCTTGCGGTTGTTAAGGCCCTCATAAGGAGTTTTACTGAGACGCTTGCACATAATGCTTCGGTTCTGCACAAAGCATGCTGTGGCCACTGCTTCGGCCCAGAAGTAGAGAGGAAGGTGTGGGAAGTTGAGCATAGATCTGGCTGCTTCTACCAGAGTGCGGTTCCTTCGCTCTACTACTCCTTTCTGTTGAGGTGTGTAGGGAGCTGAGAAGTTGTGAATGATGCCCTTAGAAACCAAGAAACTGTTTAAGAGATGGTTGGTAAACTCGGTTCCATTATCACTTCGGATGCGGCGTACTGGTAACTTGATCTGAAGTTCAATTTCTTTGGTAAAATTGATTAGTATCTGCGGAGTTTCTGATTTGAGTCTTAAGAAAAAGACCCAGGTGAACCGAGTGAAGTCATCAACTATAACCAGTATGTATTTCTTGTGATGAAGACTGGCTATGGTAGATGGACCGCAGAGATCAATGTGCAGGAGTTCTAGTGGTTCAGAAATTGAAGAATCAATCACCATAGGGTGACTTGCTTTGGATTGCTTTCCACATTCACATACAAGACATAGAGTATCCTTGCTGAACTTGAGGATTGGAAGACCTCGGACGAGTTCTCCGGTGACCAGATTGTTGATGTATCTGAAGTTGAGATGAGCTAGCTTGAAGTGCCATAGCCAGCTGACTTCGGATACTGCTTTGGATAGGAACACTACAAATAAAATTACATTTAGTGGCACATTTTGGTTTTGTGACACTATATCTTTTTTTAGTGGCACATGTATTTATGTGCCACTATATCTACTTAAAATTCTATTTTTAATGTCCCGCTCCTAATTCCCTCAATGGTCCGCTCTTTTTTTGGTGAAATCAAATGGTCCGCTCTTTTTTCATGAAATCAAATGGCACAAAGGAATAGAGCACTCATATTTTCATCCTCATAAACTCACTGCCGCTTCTCCAAGCCACCTCTCCACCTCTCTTTCTCTCCTCACCACGACGATCAATGGAGCACCACTATTTATCTTCCTCACGGACCTCATCAACAACACCAGAACACTGTCTTGATCTTCTATGGATCAAACATAAACCTCCAATAATCCCCCCAATATTGAGGCTTTTTCTTCTATCACATCAGATATTCAAATATGATGTATGTTATATTTCGGAGGTCAATCGCATATGTATGTCACATAGGATCGGATGGTATGGTATATAAAATCATATTTATCGCACATTGGAGCAGATTTAGGGTTTCCGCCGATTCCCTCATGATGAACAAGAATCCTAATTAGGTATGCATTCTTCAATAATTTCACTCTCCTTCAACCTGAAAACAATTGGCCAACTGATTGCTTCAGTCTCAGCCTTGGATAATTGGATTGATTTTCGATTTCTGTGAAAAGTTCAAGTATTTAATCCTATTTTTATGTTTTGAAATAATTTTGGGTGAAGAAATTTATGAAGGACTTTAAAATATAGATGAATTTTTTGATGCACATAACCTGTTTGATGAAATGTCTAAGATAAAAAGTTCAAGTTAAAGTTCATATTTTAATCAAGAAGAAGGTGAAGATGAATCATATTTTGAGTGATGTTTTTTTTGTCATTCAGGTGCAGTACAGTACAATGTTGTCGATGCAGAGGAGAGGCAGAAGTTCTCTGAGAAGGTCATTGTGCTGCTTCTTATTGTTGACGCCATTGAGGTAAATTGCAATTTTTATACCATTGACATGATGAGTTTTTTAATGTGTAGTTTTTGAGGAAATGGTTTTGATTGTAGTAGGGGGCTGATATCATGGTTAGGGCTGCCAAAAAGGTCGATGGTGGATGAGCTAGAAGCAATGCTGGACCTGGTGGATCCGCAACCATGAGGTGATGGTAAGCTTATTCCCCTGATTTTGTTTGATTTGTGTTCAATTTTCAGAAATGGGTTTGAACTATCAACTTTGTTACATTTCTATATTGAAATGAGATTGTCTAATTGTCTTGATGAATGGTTTATAGAATATGAATTTATTTCACTCCAATTTATGATTTTTTTTCTTTGATATTATGAACTAATTTATGCTTGAAAACTGATTTTGCGTTGATTGTTACTCTCGATGATTAATTTGTGTTCAACAGGTTTGATACATTTGGTTGCTTTTTTTAATGGTTATGTGGCCCAAGGAAAAGGTACATAGCTGAGGTGGTTTTGTTTAACAATTTTTTTGTTTAGTGGAATTTTATTGTTTAACAGAGGACATGAATAAGATTTATGCTCAACTGTTTTGCATTTCCAACTTAGTTACTTTGTATTTGTTCCATGTTTAATGGTTTTGTTTAACAATTTTTATTAGCTATGTCTCTTCGTACATGAATAAGAATATAAGATATATGCTTATTGTTTAACAATTTTTATTAGCTATGTCTCTTCGTAGTTAACAGTTTTGTTTCCCCTTTCCAATTCTAGGTTTCAAAGGAAGAGAACAAGAAATGGAGCAAGAAATGGTAGTCCAATGAGATGGAGAATTACTAAAGATTTTAGATGTAAAGACGGGATAACAAAAACATTTGAAAATCCTTGTGTTTTAAATATTGATAATATTGTTGTTAGAACAGTTTGAATTAAATTAATGATATTATGTTTTTCACTTATTATCTTAATTGTCTTGTTATTATTTTATAATCCGTTTAAAATTAAAAAATCAGACCTAATTTATGAATATAGTTTTTTTTGTGGTAAAAAAAGTGTCACCAAGCATGAAAATAATATTTATTTTAGTAGTTAAACAACGACATAAAAATAGTGCCACTAAAACTACAATTGCTTAAGTGGCATAATAAAAAGTGCCACTAAAACCTAATATGGCTGCAGCGACACAATTGAAAAGTGCCACTAAAGGCCTTTAGTGGCAACGCTTTTAGTGGCACTATTTTTTTTGTGCCGCTGATTGACGAGGGGGTCTTTAGTGGCACTTTTTTGGTTTTTAGTGGCACTTTTTCTGTGCCACTAAGTGTCATTTTATTTGTAGTGGAAGCATAGTTGCGGTTTGCTTATGATTAGAGAGACATCCAGAGGATACATAGTACCTTCGGATCTGGATTTGATCAGGCAAGTGCTCCTATCGCTTGTCATTATGTAGCAGAATTGGTCATCAAATTCAACGCGATGGCCTGCCTTACATAGTTGGCCTACACTGATGAGATTGTGTTTAAGACTTTCTACATAAGCAACCTTTTGAATAGAGAAGTTTCCCGTAGTAAGAACACCATAACCTCGGATTATCCCATTCGCATTGTTGCCGAATGTGACATTTCCATCGTTGCAAATTGGCTTGAAATCCCGAAGGTATTCTAACCTTCCGTTCATGTGCAAGGAGCAGGCACTGTCGATTAACCAATCTTCTTCTTGTTCCTCCTTGCATAAGGCCTAAGAATTACACGGTTAGTTTAGGCACCCAAACTAGTTTGGAGCCTGGGACAAAAGATGAGTTTCTGATTGATGCATGAACCGAGGTTGCAGGGACAGATGTCGTGTTAACTTTTAAGCCTAGTCCTGGGTGTTTGTGAGTTTTTGGAGTGTTGCGTTTTTTAGAAAAGTTACGAGGTTTCTGAAAAGAACCAGAATTGACATGAGATGAACCATTTTGACAACTACATTGACATTGACATGCTGAAATTTTGTCTTTTACTCTGACACCTTGTTTGGTCAGCGGTCTAAATGATGAGGTAGGCTTGTGACCGGTCTGAGAGTGGTAAGATATGGCATTGGTGCTGTTGGAATTTGAAAAGGTTTGTTTCGAAAAAGATTTAGCACGTGTATATTTTTTTGGACCTTTTTGTTGGGTTTGGTAAAATACCCTTCCACTTGTTAAAATTTTGATGTGATTTCAAAAGTGTTGGAGTGGGTAAAATACCCTTCCATTTTGGGTCATCTGAGGAATAGATTTGAAAACCATTGCTTCGAAAAGACTTTACTTTCTTTTGGGTTGTGTCAGATGAATTTGGAATGACTGTTGAAACTGTACATTGGTGTTCAACTGAGGTTTCCTGGAAACCTTTGAAAAGTTTTGAAAACGAGGGCTAGATTCATCCGAACTTGAAGATTCAGGGTTTTGAGAGCATTGACCCACTTCAAAGTTTTCTATGGGTAATTCATGATGAATTGGATGAAGTGTCACATAGCTTTTGATTGAGGATTGCGGTAAGGATGATTTGACTACCGCAGAATAAGACTGAGTTGGGACTTCTGTGGGATTTTTGTGGGACTTCTGCGGCTCATGACTACAGTGAGAGACATTGCGGTCTGAGGGCAGATATGGGAAGTCCTGTGTGACTTCGGGACTCTTTATGACAATTTCTTCATCAACAACTGATGAAGTTTGAGGATTTGGATAGATTGTGCCACAGATAGGAGTTTGATCACTTGTGTGACCCGAAACCTCAGGCATAATTTCCTCAATGACACAATTATTACTTAGATTATGAAGTCTACCGAAGTGTGTTCTGATGTCTTCGGGAAAAGTTTTGTCATTGACTGGGAAATGAAATTCTCGGTCCGGAGGGACATACAGTCGATCTTTGTTAAACCGGGGTGAGGAATCCTTTGCGGTAGGATATCCATTGGACCAACCCCAATTATATGTATTGTCCACAGTTCCATTATTCACCAAATTTTCAATAGCTTCACTTTCATTGAACAGTTTTTCTATTAATAGATTTAAGCGTACAATCTCACTCAGAGCTAAATCTCTTTGGTTCAAAGCTATCTCTAGTTGTGTTTCACTCAACATTCTTGCATCTTTTTCTAACTCTAAGTCCTTTTCTAACATAGTCATTTTGAGTCTTTTGTTGTCCAGTCGTCCTCTTACATGAAACATCTCTTGGGACGCTATGTTCTTCTCATCTAGAGCTTTGTTATAGTCTGTAAGGACGGCAGCACACATGTCATTAAGATTGTCTATGAAGGGTTGACAGTCATGCATGCTATAGTTTAGAGTTTGAATCATGAGTTTTACCTGTTCGACGATGCTTAGAGTTCCATCCTTTGCCATGTAGCAGTAGTTCTTTTCAAGCTTTGTAGACCCATCGTCATCCGCAGTTGCCAGCATGCAGATCTTGCCTTTTCCTTTGATGTTGCTGATGGCTTCTTCTTCATCTCCGGATGACCAGACTTGATGGTCTCTTTTTACATGGGCTACGTATGCCCTTGCATTTTCCTTTTCTTCCAATTCTTGAGCCATTCTTAGGTAGAATGCTCTGTCTTTCACTACATTTGCCTTGCAGTCTTTAGCAAAATGATTCTCTTTGTTGCACTTGTGACAAATCACAACATCACTTTTGTCTTCTGAGGGAGTACCGGAGTCAGTGGTTTGGATGGACTGCGGTGCCTCCTTTGGTTGAGTATTTTGAGATTGCGGTGGTGGATGAGAACTTTTGGGATATCGAGAATGATTATTCTGCGGGTTGAAGTTACAGTTGAATGGAGGTTTGTTGAACTGTTGATTCTTACGAAAGGAAGGAGGTGGTAGCCGGTTGAACTGTTGGCTAACAAGAGCAATAGCCTTCTGAAATTCTTCTTCATCATCATACTCTGAGTCAGCTTCGTATGACTGCGGAGGAGTGTCATACGAGGGAGAGTAGGATTGATTATGTGGAGCTTGTGCTATAAGAGCAAGTGGTCCTCCGAAGTCAGCACAGTCTTTGAGTACGGTGGATTCTTGTGCTTGCAGTTCCCCGTAGAGCTTGTAAAGAGACAAAGAATGAATCTTTCTATCCCCTTGAACTATCATCTTAGAAGTAGTCCAATGTCTTCCCAAACCATTGAGGAACTGAAGATTTGTTTCATGGTTGCTGCGGATGGTGCCATCATTAGATAACTTGGTGACTATCAGGTTGAACCTTTTGAAGGAGTCTTCCAAACTTTCGCCAGTATGAGCTTTGAAATTTTTGAACTCATTGAGTGCGGTTGTGAGCTTCTTATCTTGAGCTTGTTCTGAGCCCTCATATAAGTTCTTGAGAACGTCCCAGATCTCTTTTGCTGATTTGCAGTTTATGATAATGTCGAAGTTGTCAGGAGCAACTCCACAAGAGATTTCATAAAAAGCAACAACATCATTTTCCATTTTATTGAGATCATCTTTGGTGGGACGGTTCATGACTGGTTGACCTCCTCCTAGTCTGGCCGTGGCGCCGTCAGTTTGAACTGGTGTAAGAAGAGGACATGTGGTCCTTCTTCTACGGACCGCCATACATCTCTACCAAGTCTCCTTAAATATCTTTCCATTCTCTGAGACCAGTGATGATATTCATTTGCCACCAATATTGGGGCTCGGTTAGAACCACCAACATTGTTGGAAACATTGAGAGATAACGCTTGTGCCATATTTCCGTGTTTTTTTTGAAAAGTTTTTTTGTTGTTTTTTTTAAGAAATGAGCTCCAGTGGTATAGAAGGCCTTTTGAAAATCAGAGTTTTGCTTCAAAAAGCAACTACTATGGCTCTGATACCAATTGTTGAGAGAAAAAATTGAGACACACTTGAACAAACGTTAGAACAAGTATAGTTGCGGAATAGTTTATCTCAAAGGATCTAAAAGCTCAACAATAATAATAAGTTAATGAGGTAGATAATTAGAGAGTTAGTTGCGGAAATGTAAGGAAATATAAATGACAGCAGGTGTTATATCAAGTATACACATAAGTTGATTCTTAACAAGGAATGCATTCAGACCAAGTTAGTAAGTGAGATCAAACTTAGTGATTAAGACACGAATGACTTGCTCCGAAGAGATATAATAATCTGTTATATTCAAGTGAACTTTGAGAGTAAGAAAGAGATGAGAGCAATA